CCTTCTATAAAGGCCTTTTTCAATTTTGGTGGCTGAAAATTGGAATTGCTGTGAACTGAAAGTGTGTATGGTGTGCAATTGAGGCTAGGTCTACTGATTTTGTACATGGTCTTGAATATTTAAAATCAAAATTCTCATCATTCATTGTTACGGACCAAAGATAGGTCCACTCTTTAAAATACTGCAATAGCAGGTCATTGTGTGGAGTGACCAATGGGTTTACAGCCTTGCCTAACGCTAGTGTTTTAGGGCTATTTGCTTAAATTGTAATATTATTATTTTTGTTGCTATATTGATCGTTGTCTAATTTTGGTGTTGTTGTTAAGCAATTTGTGGTTAGAATTGCTATCTTTGACCTTATCTGATCAAAAGTTCCCTTGAGACTGAAGTTCGGAATCTCACAAAAATCCTGGGAATTTATATGTGTGTAGCTACAACCTATAGGACACTCTTTCTTTGGTTGTCTCTTTGAAGGTTGCTTAAGTGCTATGTGTCTTATTTGTTAAGATGTATGCGTACCATTTTGACTTGGGTGTATTTAACAGTAATGCTGATTTTTCTATTTGGTAACAAAAGATGAAAGATATTTTAATACAACAAAAAGTTTCAAGGGTCACTGATAATCCTTTTGCCGTAACTATGATAGCTAGGATCAGAAAAATAAGTTTGACGAACTTGTTTATACCTCTATTATCTTGCAATAATCTAATACTGTTTTACGAAAAGTTAGCAAACATGACACTATCGAAAAACTTTGAAAAAAGCTTGATGAGCTTTATTTAACTCAATCCATGCCAGTAAACTTTTCTTCCTTAAAAGTTTCTTCAGTTTCAAAATTGTTCGCTCAAAAGATTTAGATGACAATCTTGACATTTTCAATAAATTGGTACAAGATATTATAAATTATGGTGAATAGGTTTCTAACGAATATAAAGCTATTTTTGAATACTATTCCTATTGTCCTGCTATGGCTGATAAGCAGGTCGAGATTCTTGAGGGTGAACTGGCTTACTTCCTTCACCTCTGACCATTGGCCTCTTACTCTACTGTTTCTCAACTGCAAGTGCCCGCTGATATGCTTCAAAAACCGTTCACAATGAATGAAGGCTGAGAACATCCTGCAGGGGCTGTCTTAATCCCCTAAAATACCTTGATACCATCTATTCCTCCGTCTCAGATAAATCATTCAAAGCCACCAGCTCATAGAATTCCTCAGTATAATCATTGACTGATCTTGCACCTTGCCTTAGTGAATGGAGCCTCTGAAACAAGGTTTGAGTATAGCCGAAAGGGAGGAAATACCCTTTCATCTTCTCCCAGTCAGTAATTTTGGATTTTCCCTATCGCTCCCATGAACGCTTCAACTATTCCCACCATGCAGATGCTCTACCTTTGAGTTTGATGGCAACCAGTTTCACTTTGACATGATCTGGAACCTCTTTATATTCAAAAATTCGCCAATCAATAAATCCTTCAGCCTGCAACATATCAGAAAACTCGGGCAGATCCACTCTGAACCCGAGATCCACATGACGATCCTCCCATCCACGATGCTCCCAAACTCGAGCACGATGGTGATACGGGTTTTTGAAACTGGTATCAGAATCGTGACCCTCTACATCATGATTATCGAACTTCTGCTCCGCCAAACGTTGGGTTAATTCTACAACTTGTCTCTACAAATCTTCAATCGTCACATCCCAAATATTACGATCACGGTGTGGGACTTCCTCAATCGGATCCTGCCCTCTACGACCACGACCACGTCCACCAACCATTATAACTGATGGAATTTATCTCTCAAGAAGATGCTGACGCTCTAATACCAACTGACGCCAAGTAGGATAGTGATTATCCTATTGGCTTGTTGTAGCAGATGATTCGTAAGAAAGAAATGATAGAAAGTGCCCATAAACTGGAGAAAATACTTTGAAATCAACTCAATATTATTAATAATGCAGAATGACCAAAATTAACCCACAAGCCGGGTTAAATAGTTGCGAAATACGAAATTATGGAAAAATTACCAAAAATGGCAAAATCCCAAAAATTATACCAGAATAAAATATTAAGTAAAAGAAGTAGGTTGCTGAAATTTTGGCTAAATTCAAGTTTTCTAACATATGGAAAGGCATAACTTGAATTTTTGATAAATTGAGAAGATGAATATGAATCTTGAAATCTTGAATCTCTTCAATGGTTTCCTCATGAATCTCCGCTTGCATTAACAATAAGTCTCATCCGAATTTCTCACAAAAACTGTGAAATTTCCTCATTTGATTGTAATAATTGATCAATATTGGGGGGGGGAGGTGTGTGTGTGTGTGTAAGAGATGTAGGAGAGGTTTTCTTTATGTATTCTACTGTTATATATTTGTTGGAGTCGAAAATTGGTTAAAATCATGTTCAAATTGGTTTCCAAAAGAGTTCCAATCGAATAAGGGAAGTTACCTTCAAGTGTGATTTTTTTGTCTTTGCACAGCACTCATTATTTGGATCATAACAATTTCTTTCAATATCTGATTGCATTAATTTAAAATGCATTGGAAAGCTAATTCAAAGAGATACAATTTTGCTAGAAGTAGATTTTTTTTTAAATGTTTACAATATCAAAAAAGGATCTCGATCTTTGATTAAAAATCCGTAATATATCTAATATGAATTGAAATCGATTTATGGTAATATTCTGATATATTTCATTCCTTTTTTACTTCTAATTGCATCCAAATGACTCCAATGAATCTTTGATGTATCTCTTGTGGTCCAAAATCAACCATTGGATATTTGCAATTTGATCCTCAAACTTTATACTTCGTCATTTTTTGCTTCTTTCTTTCAATTCTATTTCCAATCATGACTAAACTAAAGTAAAGAGGCAATCGGGAAGCGACTAGTCGCTTCTGGCGAAGCTTCAATAAATTAAACATATGATTGCTTAAAGAGCTATTAAATGTCTATATAAATAAACTTATCAACCATCATCCATTATACTTCTTTAAATCAATAAGGGACGTGTTCCCAACTTTCTTTTAAAAAAAATTATATCAACAGATCCATAAGACAGCCAAAGAATTGAAAATCTAAAGTCACTCTAATCTAAATAAAAAGAAATAAAATAAAACACTATACAACTAAAAGAAACATGGATGAAAAATACCTCAAAAGCTTAAAAAATCCAGGAAAATTCTAAATATAGAGAGAAGCATGCATGGTAATAATAAAAAGTTTATTGAGAATTAGTAGGGCTTCTAAGAAATGCAGGTGTTTGTATGAAGAAATTAAATGGTTTTTTATGACACTAAATCAGATCTAACAAGAAAACCAAATTAATATCACGATTTTTGAGGTCGCAAACTCTGAATCACAATTATCTTCAAAAAAAAAATTATATATATATATATATTTATATATATTTCTTTATTAGAGTTGTTTTTAGTAAGTACATACTCATACTATAAATTAGACTAAAATACAATCCAGAAAGAAAATATTCAAAGCACCTCAGCCAGCTTTCCCCTTGCATTTTCTTTATGAGACTCCAGAAGAAGCTTAACCTTCTTCAGTATTAAGAGTTTTCAGCCTCATTAGTTGTCCATCTTTTGCAAGTGTATTTTGTTTACCTCAATGAAATTTGTTAAATTACCATCAACCTTTTCTTTTTTTTGAGCTTTGTCTTCTATATATCACAAATTGTTGTATCTTTAAAGATTAGATACTCTTAATTTTAAGGAGGAAGTGCCTAAAGTTAACGTTCAACACACGCTCTATTTAAAATTTTAAAATATAGAGTAGATTTGACTCTACATATTTGAAGAGTCAAACATCCTTTCTATTTTTATTTTATATCAATTACATTAGATGAATTCCAATTTTTGGTATTCCACTTAGATGATTATTTAATTTATATTCGAATACTTTAACAGTTAGAATCCTACTTGACTGTCAAATGCACATTAAATAAAAAAATGTGAAAAAACAATAAATATTATTTGAAAAATGTCAATGAAAATAATTCATAAAGATCCTATTTTTTAATTACGAAAGCTGAAGAAGCCTTTGGAGAGTTGTTACACAAGATAAGCACGCTGCATGCACAAAACAAAGAAATGAAGATGCGTTTTACAAATTGCTCCAGCTATATAACACAATTTCCTCTCTACAAATTCACTCATTATATTTAAATAATTAGTCCCATGAGATTTAACGATTTATTGCTAGTTTGTATAGCTGAATCATTTGATAGATGCTTCTGGACTCTCACAAGTTTCAAAGATTTCTTACTAATGCTTTTTGTCTTGGGCTACCCAATTTACTACATGCCAAACCTAAGACAATCCCTAAACCAGTTTCTACATTCACCCTCTCCTCTTGAACATCAACAGCATTTTCCACTAAATTTAGCTTCTTGTCTGCTAATAAATTTTCCAGTATCAGTAACTTGAAAATAAAAATTAGAACAAATTAAGAAAACAAGAATCCGAAAAAATACCTTCTACAACAAGATTTGGGTTTCCAAATTGTGGAGTTTGTTTGTTTCCTCTTCTTTTCTTCATAAAACTGGATGTAGGGTGCTTTTGTTTTCTTTGCTGCATGACATAAGAGCAATAATTCTCCTCAAAAATGTAAGTTGATATGGAAAATATAGCATCACAACACAGGTATATGCCTTAAATATTCACTTAAGGTTGTGATTGACTTGGAGTTTTTAGCTGACCCATTATGAAAGTAACATCATATATATTATGCATAGCTTTGGATGAAGGACTATACGATAGTTTGGTTCTCACTTCTACCAATATAGGGATTTGAAGAAATGCACGTGTTTTGCACGAGAAAAGAAGCATTATTTTAATGCTACTAAATTTTTCTAAATAAATCTCAAGCGCAATTGATCTTATCCCGGAAACGTGGCAAGAAATGGAAGCAATTTTTATAAATGAATTCCACTAATAAGTAATTGAAACCAATAGAAAATTGAAATGAAAGGAAACACCAAAATTTTTGCCTGGCATCGGATGTTCAGCCATGAAGTACCTAATCACCCATTGGAGCTCCACCAGCGTGGATTGAGTTTCTTTGTACTAGATTTCCCAATCAATATAAGGTATGAACAAGATTTTACAACAGCCGGCTTTATTGCAAAAACACACAGATTTTTGGATCACAAATTACACACTTTACAAAAACTGACATTGATGACAAAATTTTTTGTCCAAGCTATATTAAACAATTCCCTCTCTACCAATTTACTCATCAATATCAATTTCACTCATCAGTATTTAAGTTACTAGTCCCATGACGTTTCACGAATAATGCTACTTGGCTTATTAAGCATTCTTTAAGTACCATATATAAATAAGTGTCAGTCCAGTCGTTACATTAACATTTTTAGTCCGTATAGCTGAATCATTTGATAGCTGCTCCTGGACTGTCATGAGCTTCAAAGAGTTCATTCCAATTATGTACATGCCAAACCTAAGACGATCACAGTTTTCCCATTAATGAAAGGACACTAAGGAGAAATAAGTTTGCAGATTTGGGCTTACGAGGCTATCGTGTCATTAACCAAACAAGGGTCGCAATGATGCTGAATATGCAGGCAACATATGCCTCTAGGGCAAAAGATATTACCACTATCCTCGCCAATCCTCGAGTGAGTATATATTTGCATTTACTAGTTAAATTTGTTTATCAATTCAACGCAATACAATTAGCATGTGTTGAAATTTAGATATGTTAGCTTGAAGTTTGTACACGCTGACTGCTTAATTCTAGGAGATAGAATATGGGTAAGCGCAAGGATTGTACCTTCCGCCTAGAGATGATGATCCAATAATAAATGCCAATTTTAATGGGAGATTTGTAATTCAACATTTTATTATTACATGTGATAAAATTATACTAATTATGAAGGTTCTTATTTATTTAGAAATACTCTCCTATTGCGTGATGATCTCCATCTCCATGTCAACCACAACAGGTAGGGAGAGATCTATTCCCATATATAGCTTTGTCCGTACATAGACATTTCTCATCATGTCAATATCTTACACCATGTCAACCTTCACCTCCTACACACTCGCATTCTACTATCTCGGCCTCTATGGAAGTAATATCACATATAGTAGGTCTACCTCTGGATGCTGGACTCGGCGATAGTTTAGTTCTACAGTGGTAGAGATTCTGGAACCAATTTTTATACGTGAACTCATAAATATTCCACTAGCTATATTACACTATTTCCTCTCTACAAATTCACTCATCAATAGTAATTTAACTCATCATATTTTAGTTATTAGTCCCATGAAATTTAATAATTTATTGTTAGTTGGCTTTCCAAATCATTCCTAAATTACCATGATAAGTGTATTTTATACACTTATTCAGGGCTCTAAAATAACGATATTTGATAATCTTTTAGCAAAATATGTTCTAAATTGTTGTGTCTTACGTTTAATAGGTGAATTCTCATGGATTAAAAGGAAGTGAAGGAAAGAAGAGAAAAGTGGGCAAAAATGGCAATATTTAAAGTACGTGGATGAAAGTGGCCATTGAAAGAAAATTGGAGAGCAATTGGAATCCTTTAGAAAGTCAAACATTGTGGGCTAGGTTACCACTAATATAAATACACATGCTGGCAAAAATAAAAGGAGAAGAGGGGAGGATAGATACAAATTAATTGGAGACGGCAGCTTGGCAAAAAAGGGGGCTGAATTTGTAATCCAAAAATCACAAAAGAAGGGCTGCGGCTGGAGTATATATATATATATTGATAGGCAATTTGGACGGTGGAAAAAGTGGAGAAAAAGGGCTGACTGCTGGAGACGGCTGCTGGTGAGTTAAAAATATTGGGCTGAATTTATCAATTCATACACTAAGTTGGTGGCTGCAACTTTGGAGATACAAATCACGCAATTTGGGAGCAGCCTGGGGAATAAAGATACGTATACATCGGTGGCTGGAGGCTGCTGTTATTAATATATGTATATACACACACGCAACAAAAGGCAGCAGATTGGAGAAAACATAGAGGAGACAATGGCCGAATTACGCTCGGAGAATTGAGGAATTAAACATATACAAAACTGCTAGGGGGCTGAAATTGGAACCTTTTGGAACTAAAAAGTGGACGGCAAAAGACAACTCATGGCCAATCAATGGGAAAAAGACGACAACTTTAATTTGGATATTAATCACATTTCGTCAAATTTCGGTGATGTCGTTCCACTTTTATTTGTTTAATTCTAGCATCATGTTTAGCTAATTCCTTTTTATGTATTGGAGGAGACGAACCCTATTGTTTATTTATTTCTAATTCAAGAAAAGTAATTTAATTTAATTCTTGCCTTAATTGATTAATTTTGCACTCCCATTGCACTATTAAATTGTTTGGCCATCAATTAAATAGTTAGTTGTTTGTTGTAGTGGAGGAGTACTCACAATATGTCTAGAACGCAGCAAAATTAACGTGTGTAGTTAGAATTAGGAATAATCTCTTTCATACATGCAATCATATAGATAACTTGAACTAAATGCGTGATTTTCATATGAATTCATACCAGGAATAGGACCGGGTCGTGTTAATCACAGGTTCGTGTGTCTTGGAAAAGAGCATTGAATAATTTAGCGTTATCCATTGTCAAGGACGCATAAGCGAAATTAGATTACAAATCAAGAATTGAAATAAATAGAAATAGGCACAGTCGAAATCCAATATAATCCTCTATAATTTGACAAAACCCCAACTTCTTCATATTTCTTAGATTAATTTAGTTTATATCAAATCAAAACATTTATTTTGTTTTCATAATTTGAATTCCATTAGAAACTAGTAAACTTAAGTTGACCTTATTCCTTATGGGAACGATACTCTTAACTCACAAATTTTATTACTTTTACAACGATCTCATACGCTTGCGGGTTTCACACGAACATACCATATAGAATAAGTGCCAGTCCAATCATTATATTTACCTTTCTAGTGTGTATAGCTGAATCATTTTATATAGCTGCTTCTGGATTCTAAAGCTTAAAAGATTCCTTACTAGTGTTTTAAAAGAATATTGATGATTTAATAACAGAACATGACAGGTATATGCCTTAAATTTTTACTGAGGCCTGATTCATCTTCTATTAAAGTTCCAACTGACTCGGACTCTTTAACTGACCAATCTTTAGAGCCTATATTTGGTAGCTTTAAAACTTTCGTAATGTATTCAGCTATGGTCAATTCATATAATCCAACCAAAAACAATCGACTCTATTCAACTGTAAGAGGGAGGGGACCAGTGGATATACATTTCTAATCAAACAAAAAATGCAATTAAATCTGGTAAAAATGCTTTGATTAGAAACTTGTGTTTTCAGAACAGATGTTTCTCGTTCATATATTTTGGTTACCAAATTAACTGTCCGGTTGAAACTTTTTACTCGCCAGCACCTGGCAATCCAGGATGGCCGCAAAAAAGGAGTATATATATTGGGCGGCCACCGAGTAGCCATGTACGCTCGAAGTGATATTTTATATATATTGATTGGTGATTGGTGATTTACATTTAATTTTCACAAAAAAAGTTCCAACCTAGTTCTGAAAAATCTTGGATGAGAGAGTTTTTCAAGTGGAATGGAAAGGTAAACTTAATTAAAAAATGAAAAAGGAAAAAAAAAAAGAAAAAAAGAAACACAGCATAAATGTAAATTCATTAACTCTGTGTCCCACTATGTAAGTAACATCATATAGTATGCATAGATTTGGAGGATAGACTATATGATAGTTTGGTTCTACATTGGTAGGGATTTTAAGAAATGCACGAAGCAAGCGTTATTTTCATGCTACTAAATATTACTTTATAAATCTAAAGCACAACAGAACTTATGTAGCTTTCAACCCGACGCTACTAACTATGCTTTCTTTAGTGGTGTTGCTCAATCAACATAGAACTTTGGTCCACATGTAAATCTATCTCACTTCATATAGAAGCATCCTATGCCCTACGAAGAATCTATGGAGGTTGTGTTGGGAATTTACATTAGCATGTACAGAAGAATTTGAAAATAATTTCAATTCCCACGTAGTATTTACTTTGTGCCTAGATAGACATTATGATAGGAATTATATCTTTGTTGGATTCTGCAAACTCTTTTGTTTATCTTGAATACGAACAATCACGATCTATAATCTACAACTGTTTAATTATTCAGCCTCCAATGGATATCCAGACAAGGAACAAGAATGTGAGAATTAGAGTTTCTTTTTTCTTTTCTTTTTTTTTTTTTATGCTTGCAAGATAATGAATTGTGTTATATTTCTCAAACCCTAATAGCTTATAATAAAAGTTCAATTGGGCTTGGCCCAATGCTTAAACTTAATGCAATCCAAGATTTAGGGCCTGTTTGAGCCCCCATTTAATTTCAAAAGTGTATTATGGAATAGTGATTGATGTTGAAATGTGTGGTTAAAAAAGAAGGAAAAAATCTTATTTATGTGAAATATTATTTTAATGAAGAATGTATGGTTGAAAATCAGGACTGTAGAAAAAATAATGTGATAGAATGATTGACAAACAAACGGCTTATTTAATCTAATTAATTAAACATAATCCATTAATTTTTTGATAGGTAATCAGAATTTTATTAATTAAAAGAGATTACACGGGATGTGTACAATCACTTTAAACAAGAGAGGAACGACATGAAATTGGGCAACCCTTCTACGGGATTTTTAGCCACGGCATTACACCAATTATACAAAGTCAAATAAAACATTTCCCTAATCTGCACTATTGCCTTTGTTTGGTCTTCGAAACAGCGATTGCTTCTTTCTCTCCAAACACACCATGCAATTCATTAATTGATAACTAATTAATTTTCTCCATTAATAAGTAATATAATCAATTAATTATCCAACACTTATCAGTTAATTAATTAGTACATTTCATTTTTCCAGTTTTCCTTTTGTGTTGATTCATTAGGTTCCCAATCACGATGTCTAACGACATGAAATATTATTTTGATCCAATTAAAATAAGATAAATTAAAATATCCTTTTATTTTATCATTAATTCAACTAGATTAATAAATTAACATTCGTTGTCTCAAATTGACATCTTGCAATGTAGACAGTACATGTGATTGGAAATGTCATGTAGTATGACAAAATTGAACTTGTTCATTTATCATGAAACTATAATCTCTTCATCTATATGATCATATCAATTACGATACATGAAATGTGTCAATCTCAATTATCGATTTTATCTTTCATCCTACTATAAAGTCAATGTAAGTTAAAAAAAAAACAAATCTTTTAGACTTATAAGTACACTTTAGCCGAGGATTTCGTTATCAACTTAAATGAATGACATGGAGATCATAATTACTTATAATCCAAGGGTGATGAACCTCTATTGATAATTCACAACCTTTATATGATTTTTAACATACCAGAACGATGTTGTATTAGTGACTATTCTCATATAAAGTACTATGATTACCTCAAATTGAAGGACCAATTCGATTACCAAATGTTAAAGATTGACCACTGATACTTAGATAGTTATCCACGTTAAATCTCTCCAGTGTGTCCCCAATATTTTGTTGTATAACAAAATATCCACGTGTTCATTTTAGTTTTACCACACTTTAACTTGTGAGATAAGCTACTCACTTCATAAGTGAGAAATACCACACGTGGTAGTCTATTCATGATAACGATATTTGTAATTTATTATTACTTACGATCACAGATGATTTAGATTTAATCATATGTAATATGTATCTCTCAATCACAACTCTTTGTGATTAACAAATTAGACTTGAATCTACAGGCTTTATCATTTAATTTAATAAAATATTAATTCAATTAGATAATAGATCTTCCATAAATAGAATGCATCAATTGTATATAAAATGTGTTTATATCCAAAATCGATTGAACCTAGGATATAACACTTACAATTTCCCACTTGCACTAATATATCTAATATCATAAGAGTCTATATAACAATCATGTTGAAGCTCAACAACTCTTTGTCAATGGATCTACAATATTATAACTAGCTGGAATCCATTGTTTCTTTACTTCATTTATTTATATTATTTCTCCGATTATATAATGTTGCCATAACACATATTTGGATCATTGACAAAAACTTGGTTTCTTTGTACAAGATGTATAGGATCAACAATGTTAGAAATTACTTCAAGTTCATTGATGAACTTCTTGATCCAAACCACAACCTTTGTTGTTTTTGAAGCAATGATGTATTAGTCTTCTGTTATTAAATCATCAATATTTTCTGTTTGAAATGATTCCCATTAACCACTCCATTATTAAGAGTAAAATCATTTCCGGATTGAGATTTTCTATCATCCTAGTCTAACTAGAAGTTATTATCAATGTATTAATGAACTCTCAATTTATTTTCTCCATATAAATCTTCTTAGGATTCTATGTATATAGATTGGGATAGGTCAGGCAATCTTCCAGATCTATCTCTGTAGATCAAATTTCTTTTCCCCTATCTTTCTTGTAGAAATTAATTTGACAACCATAATTTCAACAATTAAAACATAGTGACGTTCTTTCCTATTAATAGTATGCCATCTCCATATAGTATCAGGAACATGACAATGCTCCCACTTTTCTTCTTGTAAAACATGGATCATCTTCACTTCTGATAAAATCAAACATTGTTACTTCCTCATCAAGCGAAAGTTCCAGCTCGAAAAGGCTTGCTTCAATCCAAGCTTTCATATCTTGTAAGAATATTTGGATTCAAAACCTTTGAGTTTTGTCACATACAATTCCTCTCACAACTTCCTATTAAGGAATGTAGTTTTGACATCCATTTGACATAACTCATAGTTATAGTACGCAAAGCCGGACTTTAACATGGCTACAAGTGAAATAACTCTCTGTCTTTGTTTATAACCTTTTGCTACTAACCTGCTTTATATGTATGAATATTTCCATCCATATTTACCTTTTCTTATAAACTCATTGACAACCTATGAGATTTATCCCATCAAGTTGGTCGATCAAGATCCAAACCTTGTTCACACACATTGAATTCGTCACTTATTCCATGGCTCCTGCCATCTTTTTGGGTCAAGGATTAGAACATCACCAACCTATTAAAAGTCCCAACAACAAAATTAGTAGTCTTGTCAAAAAGTAAAATAGTAATCCAAGTGTCGGCGAAGCATGACGGAAAATTGCCAGCAATATGAGAGTACATCCAAATCCTAATATAATCGTGAGATAACAAGCATAAACTGCCATCAAATCATACATTGCTGCCTACACCACCACCACACTAAAGAAAACAAAATTCCCAA